TCCTCCTCCTCCTCCTCCTCCTCCTCCTCCTCCTCCTCCTCCTCCTCCTCCTCCTCCTCCTCCTCCTCCCTAGCCCCTTTCCCTCGAGAGTGTCGAGGTTGGGCGCGCGCGCGCGTGAAGGGGGTGCAGCGCGCCCGAGCCGCCGAGGAGGCGAGGAGGTCAACGCGGTCCTGGTGGACCTGGGAGCCGCCATGGCATGAGGTTCATCCTGCCGCAGAACCTCTTCGGCGAGGAAGTCAACGCGGACCTGGTGGACCTGGACCTGAAGATGCAGCGTGCGAAGCCAGGGGCGGAGTTGACCGTGGAGCTGTTCAATGGCGGATCCCCGCTCGGCTGGGCCGTCGTCTGCAGCGGCTACGTTTGCGAGCCTGGGGTCCGGCTCCCGCATGACGCTCAGTCCTCCCCCCGCGGTCATGGAGAGGAGGAGGAGGAGGAGGAGGAGGAGGAGGAGGAGGAGGAGGAGGAGGAGGAGGAGGCCTGAGCTACGGGCCGCTCAATCGCAACAAGTGCATGGGCCTGTCGAGGGTGGACTTGGGCTATGGGCCGCTTCGGCTGAAGGACTCGGGCATGCAGGAGCAGTCCCCGCCGCCCTCGGCAAGGCGCGAGCAGATGGACAAGTTCAAGGCGGCCGTCCTGGCGAGCCCGGCGGCGCGGCTCCGGACACCGCCGAGGTCAGCAAGGCCGCGCCGCCGGCCTTGGCAGCTCGGTGGAGTCAGCCGTGCGGCAGGCCTTCGGGATGGCAAGGGGGAGCAGGCCTACGAGGAGGAGGAGGAGGAGAAGGACATGCACCTCGCGCGGGAGGAGCTTTGAAGCTTCGCGAGCAGGGTGGAGAGGCAGAGTGAGAAGGGCCCGACCTGCGTCCGCAAGTGGCGGTGCCTGCGTCCAAGCTGCCGCCACGCCAACTTTGGCTTCAGGGCGGAGTGCCAGAAGTGCAGCGCGCTGGCCCATGCGGGGGTCTTGGCCCTACAAGACCTGCAGCAGGAGGAGAAAGCCCTGGAAATAGAGGTGGAGCAGCGAGCCCTGCAGGAGCTCAAGACCACGCTCTGGGAGCGCAACAGGATGCTCCGCGAGGAGAGGCTGTCGCTCGCGGAGAACAAGACGATGCTGCTGGAGGCGCGGAAGGAGACGGAGGAGAAGGTGAAGGAGACGGTCAAAGATCAGCAGTCGGACCTGGATCGGATGCTCGCCGACACGACGCAGTACCAGGGCAACTTGAAGGAGCTGGGCACTGCACGCGCTGCAACGACGGGGCGGAATCGTTCGCCCAGCGTTCTGTGTCGAAGAAACCGCTGGACGCGTCCTCTCCCGCGACGGGCCACGCCTGCGTCGAGCAGTATTTGATAGGGGACCGCGGTGGGAGCGATGCTGTGTCGGACGTCGAATTCGATGGCGACGCTTACTTTCGCATGCTGGAGAACGGCTCCGCTCCCAGGACATGGTCTTCAAGGCTTGGGCGGCGGAGGTCAGCAACAAGCAGGGCGTTTTCAAGAAGGACAAGAAGGACAAGAAAGGCCTTCAAGGTACCTCAGGGGCTGGACATGGACCTCACCGCAAGGCGAAAGCCAAGCGGAAGCCCCAGGCGGCGGCTGAGGTGCCCTCGACCCTCACCCAGGAGACGTTCAATGAGATGAGCATGCAGCTGATATATCCCCTTGGCAGTGACAAGCCCTCGGCGGTCAAGACGGCGGCGCTGCTGCAGGCCGCTGAGCGCCTGGGCTTCCCTGCTGAGGAATTGCAGGGCGTGAGCGGCAAGGACAGGCGGGTGCGGTTGGCGTTTCTCGCGGGCTCTGCCTCGAATTCTGGCCCGCGTCTCGCTGGCGGCGTGGGCGTTCTGCTCGGGGTCTGGTTTCCTCGTCGCCATGCTGGACCCCGCTCGACGAGGGAACTTTGCACACGAGACGCGCGCGAACGGATCCAATTGGGGTCGCGCCTCCGTCGGGCATTCGCTCGGCAACCGCGCTGCGGCGTTGGTCCGCGGCGCTTTGGCCAGCGCGCCAGCGTCCAGTGACACGGACGGTATCATCAGCACCTTCAGCACCCTCCTCCTCCTCCTCCTCCTCCTCCTCCTCCTCCTCCTCCTCCTCCTCCTCTTTCTCCTCCCCCTCCTCTCCTTTTCCTCCGTTTCCTCATTTTCCTCCTTTTCCTCCTCCTCCTCCTCCTCCTCCTCGCTCCTCTCCTCGCTCCCCTCCTCGCTCCTCCTCCTCGCTCCTCTCCTCGCTCCCCTCCTCGCTCCCCTCCTCGCTCCCCTCCTCGCTCCTCTCCTCGTTTCTCTCCTCGCTCCCTTTCTCGTTCGTGTCCTCGCTCCTCTCTTCGCTCCTCCTCGTGGCTCCTCGCAACTCCTCCTCGCTCCTCCTCCTCGCTCTTCGTTCCTTGTTTCTCGTTCCTCGTCCTCCTCCTCCTCCTCCTCCTCCTCCACCTCCTCTTCCTCCTCCTCGCCTCCCTCGCCCCCCTCGTCTTCCTCGTCCCTGTCGTCTCCCTCGTCCTCGTCCTCGTCCTCGTCCTCGTCCTCGTCCTCTTCCTCCTCTTGCGCGCACAGTAGCGGACGATGAGTGCGCGCGCCCACCGCCGCCGCAGGACGGGGCAAGTCCCCGCGCCCCGCGACCCCTAGAAGCTAGGGGCCGCCGCACTCTTGACAGGGGCCCGAGGCAGAGAAAGGAAAGAAAAGAGAAGAGATAATAACAACAAGAGGAAAGACACAAAAGAGGCACCAGGCTCACCACGTGGAGCTCCAAGATCTCCACCGACCCGCCGAAGGCGGGCGGCCCCCATGCCTCCCTGGTTCTTCCTGCGCCTGGGGGCACAAATTACCCTCCGTCGCCGTTCGGGACACACGGCGCGTGTTACCGTGCGTGGGCAACCTGGCCCGTCCCCACAGGCCCCCGTGCCCAAGGGGGTCCTCCTCTTCCTCCTCCTTTTCCTCCTCCTCCTCCTCCTCCTCCTCCTCCTCCTCCTCCTCCTCCTCCTCCTCCTCCTCCTCCTCCTCCTCTTCCTGCTCTTCCCGCTCCAGCCTGCCTTCCCCCCCGGTCCCGCGTCGAAAGCTGGGGGGCCTTGGCGCTCGCGAAGAGCGAGGTCACGGAGTGCATGCTCATCTGCTTGCCTGGGCACTCGGTGACTCCGATCAAATGAAGACAATCAAGCCCAACGATGAAACAAAAAAACACGTCGATGCAATCTTATGCGGGTATCGGGTTAACGGTTCGTCCTCTGTGGGACTCGTCTGAGCCAAACTGACATCGTACTGAGGATGTGCATGCAACAGGGTATGGAAGCATTGCACCAAAACGTCTCCCTCTCTTAGTCTGCAACCTGGCAACTTTGACGCATTGAGGGGCAACATCAGAAGCTTTTCCACGGGCTCACAACATCGAACAAGCGAAGCCGCATTCCATTCGGCGGCACTGCCCTACGAGGCGCCACTGCCAACGTCAGCTTCGACTCCCCAGCGGCGCTTACACTGCTTAAGCCCCTGCGTCCGCAGGATTGGATCCAGATGCTGCCAGGTTGCCGGCAACAGCTCTTTCTGGCACATGCGAGCCCCACGAGACCTGGTCACCGTTGCTTGCCACTGCCGCTGGCTGCCTCCTCCTCCCTCCTCCCTCTCCACCTCCTCCTCCTCTCCTCCTCCTCCTCCTCCTCCTCCTCCTCCTCTCCTCCTCCTCCTCCTCCTCCTCCTCCTCCTCCTCCTCCTCCTCCTCCTCCTCCTCCTCCTCCTCCTCCTCCTCCTCCTCCTCCCTCCTTTCCAACCCAAGCGCAGGCCCATGAGTCCTGATGGCCGCCGATGCCATCGCTGCGCATCACCAGCCCGTGCGTGCCCGCCACCCCGGCCCCGACTCACCGCTGTCACCCCCTTTTTCCCACCCCTGCCTGCCCCCCGCAGCTCTGGTCTCCGTCGATGCCCTTTGCCACCACTAACGCTTGCCTGCTATACCTGATTCTTGTCCGTTCCTCCCTCTGCTCGTGCTTTGACGCCAATCAGGCGTTGAGTGCAGCCTTGCCTCGTTTTGTCCTTGTCTTCGTCCTCCTCGTCGTCGCCGCCCTCCTCCTCCTCCTCCCTCCTCTCCTCCTCCTCCCTCCTCCTCCTCTCCTCCTCCTCCTCCTCCTCCTCCTCATTCCTCTCACTCCTCCTCCTCCTCCTCCTCCTCCTCCTCCTCCTCCTCCTCCTCCTCCTCCTCTCCTCCTCCTCCTCCTACTCCTCCTGCTCCTGCTCCTGCTCCTGCTTCCTGCTCCTGCCTCCTGCTCCTGCTCTGCTCCGCTCCTCCTCCTCTCTCTCCTCCTCCACTCCTCCTCCTCCTCCTCCTCTCCTCTCCTCCTCCTCCTCCTCCTCCTCCTCCTCCTCCTCCTCCTCTCCTCCTCCTACCTCCTCCTCCTCCTCCTCCTCCTCCTCCTCCTCCTCCTCTCCTCCTCCTCCTCCTCCTCCTCCTCCTCCTCCTCCTCTCCATTTCTCGGCTGCCGCCACTGCCGGTTGCCGTCGCCAGCCCCTGATGGCCGTTGCCGAACCGCCAGCCTCATCTCCGACTGCGGCCCCACCGGCCCTGGCGGTCGCCCGAAGCCGGCTGCCGCTACAGCTGCCGCAGGCCCTGCCTGCCGCAAACGCTGGCTGCCACCAGTGGCCCGTGCTGGCCGAACAAGCTACGCCCGTGTCGGCGGCGAGCGGTTCTCGGCGGTGGTCGTCGGCTCTCGGCGGAGGTTTTCGTCGCTTCTCGGCGGTTTCCCAGCGTCGGGATGCTTGCCAGCAGCTGCGCCTCGCCGAAGGCATATTCCGGGGGTGCCCGGATCGTCCGGAACGCCCGCTGAAAACCCGAGTTATGACCCAAAAAACAAATTCGGCTGCGAGCGAGGGGGGGGGATTAGAAGGAGGCCTTCTCAGAAGGCGGCGGGGTTCCTCAGAAGGCCTCTGGCCTTCTTAAAAGGTTTCCGTGTCTTCGGGGGAGGCTCAGAGAACCTCTCAGAGGCCGAGGGGCTTCCGAGCCTTCTAAGAAGGCCCGCCCCTCCTCACTTCCCCCCCAGGCTCACTGCCGAGCTACTCCTGGCTGCTGCCATGAGCTCCTGCTGGCTGACGACGACGACGACGACGACGACGACGACGACGACGACGACGACGACGACGACGACGACGACGACGACGACGACGGTTTGCCCCGGACCCGCGGTGTTCTGAGCGGCCCCCAGGTCAAAAAAAACCCCGCGTGGGTACAAAAAAAACCTCCAGGGTATTATCCACTGCGTGGAGCTCCCCATATGTGCATCTATTCGCATGGACCTGTCCGCCGTGAACGTCTAGGCGCAAGAACTTTCGAATCTAATCGGGCTTCAGCTGTGGCGGCCTGGTCATGAATCTAACTGCGAATGAATTGGAATGTGAGTGAGCCTCAGTGGTACGAGCGCGTCTCTGCGCATGAGCCTGGGGCCTCCTGGGGCCTCCTGAAACCTACTGGGGCTTCCTGTGGCCTCCAGGAGCCTCTTGAGGCCTCCTGGGGCCTCCTGGGACCTCCCAGGGAAGCTTCGTGCCCCAGGAGAGGCCCAATCTATAGCAACCGACGTACATAAAACATTGCGGATTGGAGCCACAGGAGAAGGGCAATCTATAGGAACACGCGTAAAGCACCAAGGACTCGTGCCCCAGGAGAGGCCCAACATATAGGAACAAAAGTAAAACATTTAGGATTGTGTTCACAGGAGAAGGACCATCTATAGAAACATACGTATAACGTCAAGGATTCGTGCTCCAGGTGAGGCCCAATCTATAGGAGCATGCGTAAAACACATGGGATTGGAGCCACTCCTCCTGCCTTCTGAGGCCTCCTGCTCCTGGGGCCTCTCGGGGCCTCCTGTTGTTTTCCGAAGTCTCCTGGCGCTTCCTGTGGCCTCCTGGGGCCTCCTGTGGCATCCTGAGGCCTCCTGGAGCTTCCTGGGGTCTCCTGGAGCCTCTTGGGAAATCTTGTGGCTTCTTGAGTCTTTCTGTGACCTCCTGATGCCTCCTGGGACCTCATGTGGTCCCCAGGGGCCTCCTGGAGCATCCTGTGGCATCCTGAAGAGAACCTGTGCCCACGAGTCCGGCCACCAAAACAAGCAAACCGGACGAAACATCCTCAACATCTGGCCCGCCTGGGGGGTGAAAATGAGCGCCTCGCTCGAGACATCCTCCAAATCTGCTCCGGAAACGAAGGATGTTGGGACAGAAAACAAGCAAGCCGCTTGAGACATCCCCACAAAACGGCCGCGAACGGGACCGTGTCATACCCCTCGGCGGCCCCCCATTAAGGGCGTGAAAATGAGCGCCTCGCTCGAGACATCTTCCAACTCTGCTCCGAAAACGAAGGATGTTGGGACAGAAAACAAACAAGCCGCTTGAGACATCCCCACAAAACGGCTGCGAACGGGACCGTGTCATACCCCTCGGCGGCGCCCCTTAGGGGCGTGAAAATAAGCGCCTCGCTCGAGACATCCTCCAAATATCTCCAAATCTGCTCCGAAAGCGAAGGATGTTGGGACAGGAAACAGGCAAACCGCTTGAGACATCCCCACAAAACGGCCGCGAACGGGACCGTGTCATACCCCTCGGCGGCTCCCCTTAGGGGTGCTGAAACCAGCGCCCAGCCTGAGACATGCTCACAATGTGCTGTGTGTAGAGAAAGTCAGACAATGAGAAGGCCTGAGTATGAGTGAGTCTCAGCATGAGTAAATCTGAGTATGAGTAGGTCTGAGTATGAGTAGGTCTGAGTATGAATAATATTGTGTGTGAGTAAGTCTAGATATGAGTAGGTCTGAGTGTGAGTCAGCCTGTATATGAGTAAGTCTGGGTATGAGGAGGAGAGGGGGGGAGAAGAAAAAGAGGAAGAAGGAGTAGGAGGCGTCCAAGTAATAACAAGAACCCATCTTAGGATATGGGGAATAAAACGCCCGCGGGTATACAAAAACCCTCGAGTTTTTTGTGCACTGGGTGTTTGATACCCTCGCGTTCTGGGCGGCCCCCCGGTCTCCCATGGCCAAGGACCGCGTGAAGGAGCCGCCCTTGAGGCAGGGGATCAGGTGCGACACGATGGTGGCCAGGTGGTCGTCCTGCCCGCGTTGCCGAGGCCGCCGCCGCCGCCGCCGTGGTGGTGGTGGTGGTGATGGTGGTGGTTGTGGTGGTGATGGCGGTGGTGGTGATGATGGTGGTGGTCGTCGGCGTTTTCCTCCTCCCTCCTCCTCCGCCTCCTCCTCCTCTACGTATTTCCGTTTCCTTGTCCTGCTCCTCCCCCTGCTCCTCTTCGTGCTTTTCCTGCTCCTGCTCCTGCTCCTGTTCGTGCTCCTGCTCCTCCCGCATCCTTCCTCCTCCGTCGTCCCTCCTCCTCCCCTTTTTCCTCCTCCCCCTCCCCCTCCTCCCCTCCTCCTCCTCCTCCTCCTCCTCCTCCTCCTCCTCCTCTCCTCCTCCTCCTCCTCCTCCTCCTCCTCCTCCTCCTCCTCCTCGCTTCTCGCTCCTCGCTCCTCGCTCCTCGCTCCTCGCTCCTCGCTCCTCCCTCCTCCTCCTCCTCCTCCTCCTCCTCCTCCTCCTGAATCCGCGGCCCCGGCACCAGATCCATTTTAGATCTGGTGTCCACCGGGGCCAGGCGTATCGGCCGAGCGTCCACCAACAAAAAGGACTGGGGGGGTGTGCCCATCAAGGAGGTTTTTGTCGACACCCAGGTGGAAGGCCAAAGACCACCTGGGTGCCCGCGACAGGGCACACCCCCAAAAAACAGCGACAGGGAGAGGGGAAGGAGGGAGGAGAGAGCAGGAAGGAACCGGAAGGCGGAGGAGACGGGCGCGCGGCGGAGGGGTGTGAGCCACCCGACCCCCCCCTTAGGCGCGCGCGCGCCCGCCGGAGGCAAGGAGCAGGGAAGGAGAGGGGGAGGAGGGGGAGGAGCGGGAGCTGACCAACACAAAACGAAGCAACTAAGCACTAGCCATATTAATTTCGGCCGGGGGGAAAGGAGGAGGAGGAGCGAGGGGAGACGCCACGGCTGGACGCGGCGGGGTCCGATCAGCGGAGGCCTGCTGCGCGGCGCAGCTGCAGCGCTCGACGGCGCTGCACCGCGGCGCTAATGACCTGGTACGCCCGCGCGAGCTCTCTGGGCTGCACGTCCTCAGGGAGCTCGCGGACGTGGGCGAGCAACCACTCGCGGGCCTCAGCCCCAAGACGGCCACCGATCTCCACGGCGAACGCCGTCAGGCGATCACCGGGGTACCGGCCGTGCTTCTCGCGCTCAGCGCGTCGCGAGGCTTCCCCTGCCCGGCGCGCCGCAGCCCGCACGGCAGCGTCGTCTCCAGCAGCAGGGTGGCGGACAGTGACGTCCACCCACCAGTCGCCGTCAGGCTCCGGGTATTGGACATCAAGGATGGCCCGCTCGATAATCGGGCCCCCTGGCCCCTCCGCCAGACGCCGCGAGCGGGTCCGATCCCACGCAGGGACGCGCTGCTCGTAGCGCGGGGAGCAATGCACCCACCGCTTCGCGAGGCCCCCCACGGCTTTCGCCAAGTCGGCGTGGCGCTGGACGACGCCGCCGCCCGGCTGGCAAGTCTCTGCGTGGAACCCGCCCGGGTCGAGCGCAGCAGAGCAAGTGGTGCCGTCGCGCGCCTGGTTGCAGCAGGTCGCGGAGGCTTGCGCCAGCTCGTCGCGGTCGCACTCCGGTCGCGGCAAGTGGAGTCGGCTGCGGAGTGCCGTCGCCCAGTGCACGTCCTCGAGGTCGCACGCCACCTCTGCGGGGTACTGCAGGAAGGCGCCCGCACCGGGCCCCCCAGCCGACAGGAGGGTCGCCTGGCCAGGGCAGTGCATTCGCTGCTTAGCTGCAACGTGGGTTCTCTTATGCACTGCCGCGACCACGACCTTCTGTCGCGTCGGGGCTCCAAGCGCCGCCGCCAAGGGGGCGTCCGGCCCGGGGTCCGCACCCTGGCGCTCAAGCTCTGCGCGCGCTCTGTGCAGCGCCGCCGCGGTCTGCGGGAGCCGCGCCAAGGCGTCCTCCAGCGAAGCAGCCGCGAGGTCGCGTCGCACCTCGTCGGCGGCCTGTGTCCAGCTGGCCCAGAAGGCGGCCGCGCGGCGCGTTGCTGCCCACTGGACTCCGCAGCCGCCAACCTTCGCAGGCAGGCCCAAAAGCTCGCACGCCTCGGGCCCCAGAGGCCGCCCCGTAAGTTCTTCCCAGCAGCCGCGCAGCGCGGCGTCGTAGTTGAAGGTCTCCCCGTCGGCGGCCAACGTCAACTGGAGATTGTGCTGGCTGGCGTTCCCCGCACGCGTGCGCAGGAGGGCGCCTGCCCTCTGGCGCGAGAGGCCGCCCTCCCTGAGCTCCTGCAAGCGCCCCCAGAGGCGTCGCAAGCGCGTCGCCGCCTCGTCGAGCCCGCAGCAGCAGTCGCCCAAGCGGAGCGCGGCGCCGGCAGCGTCCCCCGGTGCAGTAAGCTGCGCGGCACAGGCAGAACGCGACTTTGCCCCGTTCCCCCACACACACACACACACACACCCACACGGGGCGAGGAAGAGGGGAATGATAACCAAGTTTGGAGGGAGAAGGAGTACATCTCGGCCTGGGCCACGAGATCTCCCGATGATCTCCCGGATCTCTTGGCCCCCGCTCCTTTTCTCCGCCGACCCCCATGGTCCCCTCGTCGTCCCCGCACGTGCCTCGGGCCATGATGCGACAAACTTCCTCCATGTCTTCCTTCTCTTCCTCCTCCTCCTCCTCCTCCTCCTCCTCCTCCTCCTCCTCCTCCTCCTCCTCCTCCTCCTCCTCCTCCTCCTCTCCTCCTCCTCCTCCTCCTCCTCCTCCTCCTCCTCCTCCTCCTCCTCCTCCTCCTCCTCCTACCCCTTTTGGTGGAAGGGGCTCTCCCCCTCCTCCTCCGCCTTTTCCTCTTCTTTCATCATCCTCGTCCTTTCTCGTCCCAACATAACGCGCGCGGTAAAGTTCCGGCACCCTCGTCGCTGGTGCTATGCTGTTCAAGGTTGAAGGCTTGCTCGTGGGCCCTTCGTCGCCGGTGCTACGCTGTTCAAGGTTGAAGGCCAATTGCACCTGCAGGTAATTGTTTATTCCTGGTGCCGCTGGGCGCCACCCCGCACCGCTGAGTGCATTCTGGGTCCTGGGCGCCATACTCGCACCGCTGGATGCATTTTGGTCGCCCCTAGATTGCGCGGCAATTTGGGGGGCAGGGAAATTTGAGGAGCGGGGATGTTGTTTTTGCCACTTGTTGCCTCATTGCCTTCTGGCCTTCTTGCTGTCGCGCCCGTGGGCGCTCCCAAAGCGGGGCTGCGGATTCGGGGGGGCCCCCGTGGGTCTCCGCAGGCCTCCCTGGCGCCCTGTTGGTCTCTGTCGGGTGTTTCCTGTGCTCCGCGCCTTGGGCTGCGGTGCGGCCGGTGGTAGTCGGCGTGGGGATGCCACGCCGCGTCCTCCTCCTCCCTCGTCCTGGCTGGTTGGTTGGTTGATTGGCGCGCTCTCGTGCGTGTCAGCCGCGCGTGGCCGCTCGGCGTGGGTCTGGGCGCGTGCCTGGTGCAGTGCCAAAAGGAGGGTCTCATTCTCGCCCTGGCGCCGGCTACAGTTCAGACGCCTCAGCGCTGGCCACCCCCTTGTTCGGATGGTGCCGTTGCGTGTCGCTGGTGCTCTCGTCGCCACTCTGTGCCCTGCCCGTGCTCTCGTTGCCACGTGTGAGGGTTGCAGCGCTGTCTCATTGGGCGGCCTTGCTAACGCTGGGCGGCTCCAGTAGCCAACAACCCTTGCTAACGCTGGGTTCCTCTGCGGCGTCCTTGCTAACGCTGGGCGGCTCCAGTAGCCCGAAACCCTTGCTAACGCTGGGTTCCTCTGGGGCGCGCTTGCTAACGCTGGGCGGCTCCAGTAGCCAACAACCCTTGCTAACGCTGGGTTCCTCTGGGGCGCCTTTGCTAACGCTGGGCGGCTCCAGTAGCCAACAACCCTTGCTCACGCTGGGTTTTTGGACGCCCTTGCTAACGCTGGGCGGCTCCAGTTGCCCGTAACCCTTGCTAACGCTGGGTTCCTCTGGGGCGCCCTTGCTAACGCTGGGCGGCTCCAGTAGCCAACAACCCTTGCTAACGCTGGGTTCCTCTGGGGCGCCCTCGCTAACGCTGGGCGGCTCCAGTAGCTGACAGCCCTTGCTATCGCTGGGTTCCTCAGGAGCGCCCTTGCTAACGCTGGGCGGCTTCAGTGGCCAAGTACCTGGCTAATGCTGGGTTCCGCTGGGGCGCCCAGCCGCTGTTGCCTGGCCTGCGTTTGCGCAGTGGGGCTCTCGTCGCACATGTTTTGGCTGGATTCGCTCGCTGCCTTGCACGTGCGTCGTGCGTCTGTGATCTGCAGCCTCAACGGATCAAGTCCTTTGCTGCTATTCGGCCAAGCTCGCCAGTCTGCCGTCTTCCACTGTGCTTTCCAAAGGCATGGCGCAGGCGTCTTTCACTGATGCAGAGATTGCTGCCGATCTCGAAGGCCTGCCGGATGCAGCTTTCGCAGGCGCCACCAGCTCGGAAAGGTTGAACTGGGTCCGGTTCGTTCTGGAGGTGGACGAGGCTCCACGGGCGAAACACGGTTTGCGCTTCTACTCCAGCGTGGCGGGGGTTCTCGCCGACTTGGTCGGCAGCATCCACCCCAGCGACTACAGCGACGTCGTCATCCGCGGGATGATTACTGAGGGCCTCAAGCCAGGGGATTTCCCTTTCAGTGGCGAGGCCTTCCCTGAGTCGTGGAAGTCGCTGAAGTTCACGCCGGCACAGATCGTGTACGCCCTGCGCGTTCAGGGCAAGTGCGTCGCGCAGGTGTCCACCCCTGGGAGCGGCAGCTCGGGCTCGTGCGGCGCACTTGCGACGGCCGCGCCTTCGAGCAACGATGCCCTGGCGGAGGCCATGCGTGACTTCGTGAAACAGGCAAGCACCCAGCCCAAGAAAGGTTTGTCTTTCAGCTTGGCAGACCGGATCCGCGAGGTCGGTCTGCAGGACTTCCCTTCGGAGGCGTTGCCCTCCGAGGAGCTCGCCGCGAAGTGGGAAGCCGCCGGCCGTGCTGCCGCCGACCGCGGCCGGGCTTACGTCGGAGGCGCCGACGGTGACGACCTCCAGG